CGCGCACAGTGTGTGACCCGAGAGGTGATGCAATTGGCAATGGAAGCGTTGGGATCGACGACGCTGGCATTAAAGATCCACTCGGTAAGCTGTAGAGGAGCCCCGGTGTGTTGGCAAAAGGCCGAAAAACGTGCACGCATCGGGAAGGGATGTTGAGCGCTGGCAACCGAACGTCTGAAATTACAAGCAGAGATGAATAGAGCTTGGGTAAGGAAGAAAAAAGACACTTCGGTCAGTGGAATTATTCGTCTGAGATTTCTAACTCTTACTAGAGTTTAGCGTCATATATAAGAACAACAACAAGCAAGAGTGATAAGAGTAGGGGCCAATCAAACACCAGTGACCTCAGTCCGGAGGTGACTGCGCAAGATCGATAAAGCGACTGACGGAGTTCTCACCCGAAGCCCAGGCTTCAATCAATTCCCAAACAGATCGTGTTCTAAATCACGCAAATTTCCAAATTTCGCGAATGATTGATAATCAATAGCAAGCCACATTAACGCATGGTCAAAAATTTCGAAATAATAACGAGCAAACTTAGGCGAATTTATAACTTACAAGAAATATGAAAGCACGAAATGACTGTCTTTGGAGGTCCCTTTCGCCTTTGACATATAACAATAACAATAATCCTTATCTGCGCATGTCTCCGACTTTCCTACAATTACCTATGATTGAGGATTCTCGACAGAATGCGAAACGTCGGAAAAAGAAAATCCCTGTTCCAGTTATCGCATCTTTTTCTTCTGAATAACATATTGATACATTTTCAGGAACACACCTTTTTCAATTTTCGTAAAATTCCGCCAAAATAAGGTCGAATTTCCTCTTTTTTGTTAAATTCCGCCAATATAATGTTGAATTTCTCTCAGTAGGTATCAGTTGCCTGAGCAATAGGAGTTTATATTGATGGATTTGATTCTATTTAGTACATTGAAACAAATAAACGTTTCTCTAATCTAATATTTTTTGATCACTTCCAACACAATTCAATATTCATTTACACTCGCTAACCAAGAATTAAGTGTTAAACCACAAATTACGTAAGGCAGTTGGGCGGGAGAAATATATATTTAGGCGGCCCTACAAGACAGTTTGCCAAAAGTATTAATTGGTTTTTTAGCAATACGAACATTTCAGACGAGCTTTGATTTCCGAAAACGTAAAAAACGGCTGTAACTTTGACTAATAAAGGCAAATATAATTGCCAGGTGAAATCGTAACCATACCACTTTCCTTGATATTAAAAGAACTTTCCCTTCATTGCATTCCCCATAGCTACTTCAGGTATTGGATTACAATTAGTTGCAGATTGTCTTTTAAACTCCCACGAAGTGTTCACCCTCTTCCGTGAAATGTAGATCCTGTTTGAGGTGCTTATCAAAATCTTAAGTTTTCCTCAGTAGAAAGGCTTCTGAGTACGGAATCCACTCATCGGCTGAACATAAAGGGATCAAATATACGTCGAACGGAAAACTGAAATCTTGATCATGACGTTGCATAAGTTAACTCACGCTAGGTAAGATAAAAGTAAGAACAAAATTGTTTCAGAAAAGGCACAATAAGAGCTTATATGTGATAGTGCAAGCACGCAGCTGATTAAAGCACTCAAATGAAGCCTCAAACAATTATACTGGATGATACGAAAAACACGCAGAGACTTGGTATAGTTCACAGAAGGAGTGGTAGAACACTACCAACATCGCAAAGATATACGCTAGGAGGCCATGTTATACTTTAGGAGAAGCCATTCCATGTCTAATAAACGCAGTGCCGATGAAGACGTTTATCGAACAGAGCTAAAAAAACATTTTCAAACTACTTTCCCAAAAAGAGTATCCTGTACACATCGTTGATCAATACCTGTGATGACAACACTTCAAGAAATAAGGTAGTTCCAGTGCTACGAGCACGCAGGCGCCGAAACCAACGGGCTGGCGAAATCCACTCCCCTGTATAAAGAATGTATCTGCATCATCCCCGGAAGAGGAAGAAGTAGAGACGATTTCTGAGACCAAAGTATATTCAGGCTGACGTTTCAAAAGCTCTCTCACTTTCATCGTCAGAGCAAGGTGTCTGTATTCCTGTGTGCGTCC